CTCTTGTAAAAACTCCAAGAACCTTTCAGATCAGAGACAACACACACGAAAGGTCTGGGGTAGTTTACTGCCCCTATAAAGTAGCACTGCTCATTTAACTGATCCCACTGCAAACCCTAAAGGCTTTTCACCTGCAGCTGTGAAGCACAGAAATGATTAGCAATAAAGACAAACAGCTGAAGCTCACAACTGTCACAAGGTCTTTTCATTAGGCTGAAGTAGAGGCTGGTACCTCTCTTATCCCTGGATATTTAAAATGAGGGCCAAAAGCCAAGGTGCTACAGCTAAAAATAAATGCAGCACAAATAGTGACCGCACACATGGAATGCACGCAGATTTCGTAACATCCTATGCGAGAAAATGAATAAGGAAAAAACATATTTCTGCTAAAGCCCTTCTCAAAACAATACCTGTTTGCAACTGTGCCAATGGCAGCTCCCTTAGGAGTGAGTACATGTGGCCATGGCACACAGGAGGGCATGCTGTCTCCAAGAGGCTGAATCTGAATGTGCTTCCTCAGAATAGTAATGCACTGATAAATACATGAGCAAATACAGCACATGCACATTTTTACTCTTTTGGTTCTGGACATCATAGCACAGCACTGCTGTAATAAATTCACGGTGCACAGAACGGCCTCAGAAAGACTCCAAATTCACTCACAGAACAGCATTGCTAAGATGCATCTTCATTAACTTCCTAAAATCCTTTCCTATGTTAAGGCAGGCGTACAAAAGCAAAGACCACCAACTCTTCATGAAGAACAGAGGGAGCCTCCAATGCCCCAGACACCACACCAGCAACCCACAAATACTGGATTCGTGGAAAACCTGAAATCTGTTCTCAGCATTTGAGGTCCTTCCTTGCACAGCAGAAATGACCTGTATGAGTTTCAAATGGCATTATTCTTATTAAATTCCTGTCCACCCTTCCAAAGCACCATTTAAGGGAGCAATTGAAGCTGCACATCACAGCCTTCATAAACTATTTTACCAACTAACTATATAGTCCTCCTTTAGAAATAAAAAAATATTTTTGTGTATTTGGTTTGAATATACTATATATACGCCTTTTGAAAAGCTATCCCAAGCCCTGGGAGGCACTACAGCACCTGGCCTGGAAATATGGCAAGTCCATCCTATTTCAAAGCATCCCACATCAGGCAGGTTATCATTTCCCTGTTGTGATAAACAAACCAAACTGACCAGTAACAAGGAAAAACACAAGTCCCAAGTGGGGCAGCTTGCAATAAAATTGGTTTCCTTCCTGGGTTGGTTTGTTGTTGTTACAGTTGCTTGTTTTTAAAAAGCATGCATGGAAACACAAATCTCACCCAGAACACTGCTTATCTGGGCAGCTGGAAGGTGCTGATTGAGGACTGAGAACTGCAGACACCTCCTCAAGCACCTGCACTACCCTCTCTACCTGGGGAAAACCCAGGTAAGCACAGGAGTGCATCAACAGAACATATACAGTCACAGATAAATTACTTAAGAAATGCTGGTATCCTTGATATATTTAACATTATCAATGGCCTACTACCTGACATTGCACTTCCAGGCATCAGGTGCCATTCTAAAGTAATATATTCAGTACAGCTCCATGTACACTTACCTAGCCCCTTCTTCATCACCACATTCATAAGACTTGCCTAAAGTTAAGAGCCTACACTAAGCACTACTCCCAGCAACAACAGCATTATCCTGCTTTTTGTCATTCATTAGGAGTAGCAGACAGAAGTACAGTCAGCATCCTGAAAATTAACAGGGTCTGAAGGAGAGCAGACCACCAGGAAGCTCTCCTTTCCCATCTGAGGCCAACAGACTCACTGTTTCTCTGTTTACAAGAAAGATTCAACTGTCATAGTGGTGGTCTCATGCCTCCTTATCTGCTCTTAAAAAAACATTAAAGGTATTTTTGGCACAACTTTGGAAGCAACTGCAGTAGCCCCAGTTCTACCTCTTACTGCAGCTTGTGGAACAAAGGAAAAGGGCTCAACAACTGCAGAAGGCACAGAATCATTAAGGTTGGATAAGACTTCCAGGATGCTCTAGTCCACCTGTCGATCCATCCCCACCATGCCCATTAACCATGTCCCCAGGTGCCACGTCTCCAGAGCTCCTGAAAACCCCAAGGGACAGTGACCCCACCAGCTCCCTGCACAGACACTGTGTGCCATTACCTGACTGCTCTTTCTGAATTTTTCCTGATATTTAGCCTGAATGCCCAAGGGCATTTGGAAATTAACCAAACCATGTTTGTATATCTCAGAAGTGCTATTTAGGTTGACTTCCTAAAGCATCTCGTTGCACCTCACCTTCATTGCCATAAGCAAGAACATTTTCACCTCCAACTACAAGCATGAAACAGGAGCCTGATCAGCTGTGCTCCGCAGGTAGGCAGCAGATACACACAGCTCCTGGACTTTCTGATGGGTGCATGGCTTTCTAAGCCGCACCACACAAGCTGCCTCCATTCCCAAGCATGCCACATCCCAACAATGAGATGAGAGCCTGAACACAGAGCTGCAACGACAAAGGAGAAGGATGAGTGGCCTCAGGAGCGCAGGAAAGCTGCTGTAATTCAGCTGTTCACTTTCCTCTTTCAGATGGCTCCCTACACGATCATCTCATAGTCCCTCATGCTATTCCATCCCCACCCGTTCCTCATCCCGCCTCCCCACACTCTGAGCCCCACCAGGAAGCAGAGCTGAGTCACGCTCACGGCTGCCCTCTGAGATAAGTTTCACGCGCTGCTCCCCGCGTGGATCCTGGGCATGCAGTAGCTGCTGGGAACCCAGCACTGTGAGATGGGGTAGCTGAGCAGAAAGAGGGTTTCCTGAAACATCTGCACCCAATCTCTCTGTAATTTACTGCCAGTGCACCGAAGTCAGCAGCCTTTGGGAGTTGAGGTGTTAAGAAAAGTTAGTTGTGCACAGGAATACGCTAATCTAATAGGGGGAAAAAAAACCCACTATATATGCATTACATATAAACACATGGCTTTTATATACACACACACTTCTGTGCTCCCACAAGGTAAGCAGCATAACCCACAGCCAATGACACCCTCCTGCTGATCGCTGCATCTGCTTCAGCACAGTGCCCACACACTCCGTCAGTTCAGCCCTGCAGAGACGGATGGCAACTCCATTAGCAGCCCTGCTTGGAGGACGCAGGTGTTGCTGGTTTGCTGTCACACAATACGGTTCTGCTGTCACTCTCCAGCACGGGCCATGGCAAATAGTTGGGAAGACAACGTTCTTTTATTAGGATGTTCACCTTAACAGTGTGTTCTCCACTGCTGCTCCGGGACTACACGACTTCCGCATTGATTCACTGCAACCTGGAAGCTTCACAACCAGTAATGAAACAGAACACCAGAAGCCTTGCAGGGTACCTAAGTCCCCATTTTTAACTACACAAGGACATATAAAATATGTTTACCAAGCAGAACATGAATCTCCATCAGGAGGAAATTCAGCAGTGCAGAAAAGAGTCTGTCCTCTCCAAAACCTGCATTCAGCAGCATAACAGAGGATAGCAGCACCCAATTAACTCTAAATCCCATTTAATCTCCTTGCAACTGTCTCTTCTCAACTCTCACACCCCATAGTTCGTCAGAGTATTTCTCTGACACTGCAGATCATCCCACTCAGCTAACTCGAAGGAAAAACAGAACAGAAAGAAAGAAATCATCATAGAAATAGCAAAGCTATTACCAAAATATGACAAAACTCCTAAGAGCAGCAGACAAACAAGAAGTGCAGAATGAGCTTCTGCTGAGGGCTCTGAGCCTTTTCAAGAGTTACGGCTTCAGCACACTCCCAACACAAAAGTGCCTGTGCCTGTGCTTTATGAAACAAATCAAAGACTTTTTAAAATTATACCTAAGTTCACTCTCTACAAATGCAGTTCCCCACACGGGATACCCAGAGCTTCCATCTCAACTGCCTCCACAATTCCTTGTCCTCTTGGAGCAAAGCAGCTCCAGGACATCACTCTCCAAAAAGCACCTCCAACATGAGACCCTGCAACCTAGCGCGTGCCCTCCGGTGTCCTCAGGTTTCCAACACCAGCTCACACTGCGTGGTGACAGATCTATTCCAGCAGTTCAGAGGCACAGCACTGAGCACATGCCACAGGCTTGGATACCATACCCTTATTTTCGAGGGATGTACAGGCAGAATTTTAAAGTAATTCCTAAAATTCACTTGTGTTCTGTTTAATCCCACGCATTCCCTTCTTCCTGTTCCAGTTGTTACACAAGGCTTAGCAGTGTGTACACACAACCGATCTCAGGATCCAGATGCAACAACTGCGGGGGAAAACACTGCATTTCTTATTTCCAAATGGAACACGAAGGTTTATTATCCCCTTCCCCGCGACAAACGCTCTCGCTCGTGCCGGTTTTCTCCTCCTCAACCCCTACAAAACGCTTCCAATCCCAACGAAACACTGCCAGCACCGCGCCGGGCCTCCCGCAGCGCTGCTCCGTCAGCCCGAGAACAATCCGCCTCTGTGCCGGGGGACGGAAACAGCCCAGGGAGACATGGATCCTCGGGCAGCAGTGGGGAAACCCCGGCACATCGACAAGGGCACGGGGCGAAGCCGGGAAAAGAAACCCACGTACAAATAACTTTAAGCAGGAGAAAGTGGTGCTGAGAGCCGGGGTGGAGCGGGGGGGCGAAGGGGTGAGGAGGAGAGGAGAAAGAACACAAAGCTGCAACTTTCTGCTCGAGGATGTGACTCGAGCGCAGGTCGAGCCGCGCTCCCGCATGAACTCCTCAACTCCACCGGCCGGGAACGGCGGCCGAGAGCCGGGAGAGCGGCCTTGCGAAGCAGCCGTGCGGCTCCTCGCTCGCCCCGCCGGGCCCAGTGCAGCCCCCGGCCCGGAGCAGAGCGGCCCGGCGGACGTGCGGGGATCCCCGCGTACTTCGCGGAGCGCCGCAGCGCAACAGGCGGGCGCGGGGCCCGAGGGGAGGCAGGGAGGATCCTCACCTACGCCGTATTTCTCCTCCCTTTTGGTGGGAACCCAACGGGTCATGGCGCTGAGGCGGCCGGAGCGGGCGGGGATGCGAGAACCCCGCTCCTACGCCGCCATTTTCCAACCGCGGGACGGGAAAAGTTTCTACCGACGGTAGTCATGTGGTGCGGGCGGAGCCAGCGGCCGGCCGGGGGGAGCCGGCCCGGGGCAGCCCCGGGACAGCGGGACGAGCCCCGCCTTCGGGAACCGGGGGACGCCGAGAGCGCTGCTCCCGGCCAGGACTGGGCCACGCGGCCCCACCACGGAAAACCCGGCGGCTCCCGGGCTGACCGCGTCCCGGCCTCGCTCTGCAGGAAACTCTGTCCCGCTCAGAACCGGCTCCGTAGAAAAGCAGCGCGCTCCCCTTTATTCCGCGGTCAGAAAGTGGGAGCGGCCCGGGCTGCTTCCGAACTCTTCGTAAGTCCGGTGAAGCGTTGGTTACTTTGGTTCCTGCTGTATTTTCGAACCGCGGAGCCCCGCAGGATTTGAGCCTGGTTGCTGCCCGCAGGAGCGGCACTAACGCGGGGCTGGCGCTCGAAGCACGGCGGGCTGTGTTGGGAAAGCACCATTTCCGGGTAAATCCTCAGTTCTGAAGACAAAACACCGCCTAAATAGTGACCTGCTCCAAACCCAGCCTCTCCTGGCCGAATAGAACCATCACAGTCCGAGAACACCTCTAGATCCCCAAGCCCTACCCAGTCGTCGTTCGCCCGGCCCCCCCCCCCCCCCCCCCCCCCCTGTCCATCAATGCCACATTTTCAAGGTACCAGATCACCTCTAGAGACGGGGACTTCACCATGTGGAATGTTTTGATTGCAGAAGAACCAATAAAAATAGTCGTTCTGATCCTGATCTTCAACTTCTTGACCAAAGTTCTTTACTATGAGAGTGGTGAGGTGCTGGAACAGCTGCCCAGAGAAGCTGTGATGCCCCGTCCATCTCTGGAGGTGTTCAAGACCAGGTTGGATGGGGCTCTGGGCAGCCTGGGCTGCTATGAAATGTGGAGGTTGGTGGCCCTGCATGTGGCAGGGGGTTGGAGATTCATGATCTTTAAGGTTCCTTCCATCCCGAGCCATTTTGAGATCCTTGCACTCCCAGAGAACCTCAGCCTCAGGAAGCATCTCACTAGCTATCACATCAGATTGCTCCTCTGTTGGAGAAGCTCCGTGCAACACATGTAAGAATGCACATAGATCATACCTGAATGTCTTTGCCCTGCTCTTCTTGTCAAGTATCACTGGACATGTAGGGAGTCACTTTCTACAACAGCACTCATTATCGCCAGGTTTGGGGATCAAGTATTCAGCTCCAGCATCTAAAGGAGGCTACACCTTGTTCTATGAACCTTCCCTTTTCCCATCCTTGTGATCAGTTCCCCAGGTCACTACCTACCTACAAATTCAAACTAATCTGAATTTCATTGCTCTTGTCCTGCTGAACCCAAGGGCTGCTGTGATAGATCCAACCTCTGCACCTTCCCACGTTATGTCCTGGAGTGAGGAGATCAAAAGATTCTCAAAGTCAGCTGCCTGGCTTATCATCTTTACCTGCATTAATGAGTAAATGATTAGAGTCTTACCAAAGACAACTTACAACAGAGCTCTTTGGTTTAACAGGTTTATTTTTCAGAAGATAAATCAAAGTGAGTTAATTGAAATAACAGGCATACTTGTCCTGTCGCTACAGTCATCTTTGTAACTTCAGGAAAGCAAAAAGGGAGTGAAATGGAAAAGCAGGGGAGGTTTAGATTGGATATCAGGAAGAATTTCTTCATAGAAAGAATTGGGTTTTGGAACAGGCTGCCCAGAGAAGTGGCAGAGTCCCTATCCCTAGGCACGGTGCTTAGGGATGTACTTTAGTGGTAGGTGGAGTGGTCACTGGACTTGATGATCTTAGGTTTTTTCCCAACCTCAGTAATTCTGTGACTCTTTTAGTACTGATATATTCTTTTCTGCAGCGCCAGCAATTACGTGCAGCAAAAGTGAAGAATCTGAAGCAGCTCAGACATTAAATGGTTTAGAGACCTTTAAGACTATTAACGTAATAATCTCTTACAGAGGACTTGATTTACTTTCATTTAAGTTGCTGATAACAAAGAATGACTTCCACAGACACCATACTAGCTTTACAGATACAGAAAGTGAAAAAATGATACAAAGTAGCAGTGATTTTAATTTTAACCTGGACATAGTTGTAATTAACTTGTGCATGGCAAAAGAAGGCAGTGACAATGTCTTCTAATGAGTTACAGGCACTAAAGAATAAGAGCAGATAACAAAAAAGGAAAATTAACTCACCTCTTCCAACAACCAGCAACAGCTCAAGAAGAGTGCAACCTCTACCCAGGAAGAAACTATGTACTCAGCTGCTAACCCTTAAATGAGGGTAAGAAGGGCTGGATCCTGACTCCACTCCTTCCATTCACTCAGATGCATTGCTTGCACCTGAGTTCCCTGAGTTAGCTGTGCTGCTTACCTGGTGCTTGCTCACTGGTTCAGACTGTGACCTGGCCATTCTGCTGCAGTTTGTAAAGTGGCCTTGTGCTGTTTGCTGCCTTTTCTGGGCCCCAATGTTCTAATCTGAAATTTAAGCTGTTGATTTTCTTCTGTGTTGAAGGATGCTAAAGAAGAACATTTTCCTTCATAAGAAATGCACTGCTTGCTGACACCTTTCTTCAGGTGTTAATTAAGGGTTAAATTTGATTCTTCCATAGATTGGTGCTACTTAATCTGAGTGTACACCTGCACTATGTGGGAATTATGAATACTGTGGTTATGTTCCTAAGGTAGAAAGTACCCTGTCAGCGAGAAGGGGCTTTTTCAGTTGTATTCTCTAATCACCTATAGCACAAACAACAGAAGTAATCCCATGGCCACCATAAAGACACACATAAGGTTCTATATTCATTTTATTATTTTCCACATTTTCATTTTAATGAAAACCTTTTACAAATGCCATTGAAATTTTGATAACCAGTAAAAAATACTCCTCCTCGTTCACAATGAATAAATATTCCAATACTGGTTTTTATAGCTAGGAAAAAAAAACTGTAATAGGATAGCGCTGTAATGTTGAGAAAGTAGAAGATCTTTATTTTTTCTCCAGCAAATGTAATGTAAAGTATGCTTGTGAAAAATATTTTTCATTAACTGCAAAATGCTGTAGCTGATGTAGTTTACAAACTTGGGCATAATATGTTTCTTCACACTGTGCGTGTATGCTTTTCATTTGTGAAGAGGAAACTGAAAAATGCTGCTTTCCATAAAATCTGAAAGCTTTATCACATCATTCTGTCAGCTCTTTGGATTCTCTCCTTCTTGTGTAATGCATCCCATGGAATTGGAGGCTCTTCTCCCGGAGCAAAGAAGCATTCCTTTTTGTAAGAGTAACTCCAAGAAACCCAAATGCAGCATTTGGCCCCAAATGAGATTTGAAAATGACGTCACAGAAATCAGGAGTGTGTTTGGGAAGGGATGAATGGAAAAAGAACTGGTACTCTGAATTAAATATGTTTACAATAAATAAACTCTATAAATGTATCGATGCAGTCGAGTTGTATTTCATTCTTACTGCGTATGACTACACAAGGGGAATCTTTGTTCCATCTCAGTTCAAAATCACTTTTTAGGGAAAATTTATGTTTCCTTTTTTTTTATTGTCAAACCATGTAGGTAAATTCAAAATTTACACGTACCATGCAAATTCCTCTTGGAAATATCCTTCCCAGGAGATGATGCGGAGAACTTATAAAATCTTATAATAAATAACTGTTTTGCTTTCCTATCTCTGCTGCAGATACTCTGTTGGAAATGCTATTGTTTCCTCTACAGTTACTCATCATCTGTTTTGCTGTATGATTTTCATTTGGGGTGGATGGCCTCCATGCTCTTAGTTCATCTTTGCAATGAACAGCTCCCTACGTTCCACGTTTGGGTATGCACAGAATTCTTTAAACCTGATGGAAAGACACTTTTAAAGTACAATTTTGTTACAGCGTATTGCTCTTGATGAGAATGGAAATAAAATCAATTTTATCAGTGTGTGCAACTAAAATGACTTCAGCCTTTTAGCTTGGTCTTATGTATGCCCCTTGTATATATTTTTACCTAGGGAATCTCTTCCAGATGAATATGGGAGAATTAAGAAGTCAAAACTGAATTTCCTTCGACCTTCTTGTTGGCTTCAGTCTGGCAAAGAGTAGCATGTGTAAGCCTGCACCAAAGCTTAACAACAGCATGAGGAAAGTTCTACTTTTCCAGGCTTTGCCTGTGTGCTTTATAAGCATGCCCAGTGATCTTCCTTTCTGTTACTGTAGGATCATTTTGAGTATATGTGAGTGTGTCTTAAGCTTTTCTTCTAGAGTGACAATTATATACCAGCATGCCGGATGCAGAACTTCCAATTGCAAACAGAAGCGTTCAAAGGCAACGTTGGGATTTATGTATCAGTATATGCTGTTATGGCAGACAGTGCATTTGTCACACCAGTTTAGTACCTTTCAGATGGGTTGAAGGGAGCACCTGGCCTTTCAATCTGCTCACTTTTAGTCACTGCTTGCTTCCTTCTTGCATCTGAATTTTCAGTTTTATAGACTACTAAGCCGATTAGCTATGTTAAAGTTCAGAAGGAATATGAAGGAATAAGAAGGTATTAATTTTATAGATATTTTTGATTGAACAGCCCAGATTTTAGCCTAAAAAAACTGAAGTTTGGTTGCTGGTAATGAAAGCCATTTCACTCCACTGGAAATTGCACGAACTGTTCTTGCTGTATTATGCTGAAAGTGGTGTAATGAATAAGACATCTTCACATGGTTTGATGTTTAAATGCAAATGTGTGAACACCTAGTTACTCTTTATAAATACACAAGGGTTTCCGAAGTGATGTATTTTAGGAAGGGTATGATTATCATAGATAGAGCTTGGTTTATGCCCTGGTATTTTACTTTGTGTTCGAGAATAAAAAGAAATCAGATGAGTTTTACAGCGCTGCAGTAAATGGCTTCATTTCTACTCAAGGGGAAAATCTGTTTTCTGATCATACCAGAGTGTGAGTTTTTACATTCTTCAGAGAAAAAGCACGGAGAAGTTTTATGAGGGTCAGCCTCT